CCGCCCCTGCAGGGGAGGTGCGGGCCGGGCCGCGCCGCGGAGCCCCCGGAGCGAGGCTCCTGCTGCTGCCTTGGAGCTGGGGCTCGACCTGAGGGCAAAGGGAGCCAAGGCGATACGCGCGTTTCCGATGTGCCTTTTTTTTTAAAAAATGGTTCTATTTCCCCCCGCTCTTGCTGGCAGTGTCTTGCTCTGCGTAGTAAGCAGTGCTTTTGGAAGAGTAAATAAGGATAGGTGCTTCAGTGGAAAGGTAGAGATGTGTGTGTGTCTCAGTTCCTCAGACTGTAGTTCTTTTTTTTTTTTTTTTCTCTTAATCTTTACTTTAGCTTGCCTGTTTTTGAGGTCTTGAAAATCTATTGCTTCTTAAAAATGAAAGGGAGATGTCCTGACTAGCCTTCCGAGCAGTGTTATGTGCCCGTTGGTTGAATACTGGCACACCTGGAAGCTCTTTGCCACTAGTTGAGTCCATCGGCCGCTGCCCTGGTTTGCCTGTTGAGCCTGAGCCCTGCAATCGCATCCACCTGTTACTGCTAAATGTGCCCTCCTAAGACACACCTGGTGCTGCAGCTTGGGGGTGGCCAGAGAGAGAAGAGCAGGTGGGGAGGAAGAGTGCGGCTGGAATGCCTGCAGGTGGGATGAAGACTGCCCTGCTTTGGATTTGGGGCTGCTGCAGGTTAGCACCTGACATGCCCCTGCTAAGCCTAGTCCTTTTTAGGAGCAGCTCTGTCTCTCTCTCTCTCGCTTTTTTTTTTTTTTTTTAATAACATTTTTCTGTGTGTATTTAAGGGTGCGAACAGCTATGGACAACTTGGTCTTGGTCATAGAGAGGATGTACTGGTACCTCAGTCACTGAAAGATGTTTGCTGTAAGTCGCAAGGCTTTAAAAGCATTACGGGAGGAGGAGGCCACTCAGCGGTTGTCACTGGTAAAAACACTTGCAACTAAATGCGTTTTGTTCTGTCTGAGTTTCTGTTCATTCTGTGCCTCCACCTATTTGTGACTTCTGTTTATGAGCAAGTACTAATTCTTGGCTGCAAAACAGGTTCTTCCATGCCTGTTAACTGAATATTTTGGGAGAATTCATTTATTTTATTTATCTCTGTGATTATTTTATGGCTATGTGAGAGTTGTTCTTAAGTTGATTCACACCATAGCCTTGCATACAAAGCTGCTATTTTTTTCTCTACTGATCCAGGAAAAGGGAGTCCAAGGGGAAGTTATTCAGTTCTGTGAAGTTTTTAAGATAAAGGACAGAAAATAATATCTGGTCTTTGAATGGTTCTCCTGCATACTATAGGTAGTTATGGAAAAGAGGGACTATGGAGGGTGGTATGAATGGGCTGAAGTACTTCCTCATGGATTGGGCCTTACTGAGAGGTGCCTGCTGTACATCGTTCCTTGACGATCCGGCTGTCCCTTGCTGTGCTCACTCAGGATGGAGATGTGTTTCTGAATCATCAGAATTAAGTGCTTGCTTTCTTTTCGCTTGCCTGCAGTGTCCACAATGATATATAATTGTGGTCATATTTATCACAGAATCTCATTTTTTTCTATTTTGTTGTGAACCAGAACCTTTTTTTTTTTTCCCCAGATGCTGGAGAACTTTTTGTATGTGGCCACAACAAAGAAGGACAGTTGGGTTTGAATCACTCGGAGGATGTGCTGCATTTCACTTTGTGCACTGCCCTGTCTGGCTTCTGTGTGACAGAGGTTGCTTGTGGTTGGGACTTTACAATCATTTTAGTAGGTAAATATGCCTGGAGAAGTACTATCATGTCAAGAAGTAGTTGAAGGCTCCATGTTGCTAGTGCTTGTGCAGTGCATAGGTGCCTGTAGGCTTCAAGAAACACCCACTGCAGATTAAACTATTCAGTGTTCCTTGTATCCCAGTGAAATTCAGACCTTCACTGAATATGGCTTGTAAGGCCCGAAGCCTGAGACCTCAGGAGCTTTGAAAGGGGAGACATTAGGCTTTTCTTCTGAGCTATTTGGCTGTGATATTTTGCCTGTTCTTTTGCTGGAACATTACAGTGCTTTGCTCATCCACAAATAAAGTGTCATGCTGCAAGCTGAATGGGCTCTAACATTTCATTTTGCAGGAACTGGCCTAGTTCTCTCCTGTGGGTCTAACTCTTTTGGACAATTAGGAGTTCCTCAAATTTCAGGTCCCTGCTTGATTCCACAAAAGATTGAGGTAAAGATTCAAAAGGAACTGTTTTATAGCTCTGTACTTTTATATTGCTTCCAGCAACTTACAGAAGTGTCATGATCTCAGTGGGCTTTAAGCAATGTTCTTCAACTACTGTTAATGGAGTCTGTTCTCTGTGAGAAGAGTAATAAATTCCCAGAGTATTCAAAGGTAGGGAAAAAGCCAGAATTGGGGTACTCTGTGCAACCTGAAATCACTCATCTCATGCACATGTGCATAGGCTTAGTGTCCTGTTGTGTGAACACTTCTGAGCGCTCGTCGGGATAGGTGGTACCATCGGCTGTGCTGTTGGTGGTCACAGGGCCCGGTACCTGGACAGCCTGATGGAGCCTGTTACTGCTCTTACATTTGCTGTGGGATTTCTGCTGTAATTCTTGAGGAACATCAAGGTGAAATTAAGGAATAAACATGTTTGTTTTGTCAGGATTCCTTTATTCATGTGATTTTGACTGTAGCTTTTCATTTATTGCTGTAATGTTGTAAACCCATTTCTGTGCTTGAATTTATTTCCTCTGTTTTATACAGTTCTATTTCAGTTTCTGTGCTTGAATTTTTTTTTTCCTCTGTTTTATACAGTTCTATTTCTTTATCATACAAAATGTTGCTATGTGCTGTGACAGGCAGCCTGGAATTGTCAGAACTATATTCATAGTTTGTGTTTGGTTTAGCATATCTTGCTTTGAGAAGAAAAAAAAACACAAAAAAAACAGAAAGCAACTAAAGTATTTTTCTTTTATGTGTTTAGGCCCTGAAAGAGAAGGTGGTGGCTGTTGCTGCAGGACTGAGGCATGCCCTTGCTGCTACAGGTAAATATGTAGTCTTGCTTTCTCATTTCAGTAATAAATGGATAGTACGTTAATATTTGGAATTTTTTTTTTAAAAAGAGGGGTGTGTGTGCATTTTTTTTATTTTTTTTTTACTTTAAGAGTGATTTTAAATGTCACAGCAAAAATACCACTGAAGGTCTTGTAAGGTTTTGATACAAATTGTCATGTCAATATGCAGGCTAGAAAATTATAGTAGGCACAAAACTCCAGTGAAGAAGCATCCCCAAGATTTCAGAGAGACAATTGGTTAACAAGTTAATTTTCTGATGGAAAATATACCGGTTTCTTCTTTCCTTTTTCCTTTTCTGAAACAAACCAAAAATGAATCTTTTCCTGGAACTTTGATTTACAAGAAAATTATCTTTCTACTCTTTTGAATTGATTAGCCATTTTTAACATACAGAGGAAGGAATTTTATTTTGTAGGTGATGTTTCAAAGTGGAGCTGTAAATAAAATGTTTTGAACAATGTATTTGAAGTTGACATTTGGAAAAATCCTAGGAATGAGATTTTTCTTTTAGTTGGAGTAGAAAGACCTACTGGGAATAAAATTTTAGAAGATATTTGTTTAATTACATAACTTGAAAATCTGGTGCACTGTGACTTTCTCCCACAGTCTGCTGTATATATGTGGGAGGCTCATAACTTCTAAATATTTCTCCTGCTCTTTTTATAGACTTCTAGATTGTTCATGGAATAACTGCAAAAATCAAAGCCTTCCAAGCATAGTTGGTTTGCAATTTAGATAGCACAACTTTTTTTTTTTTTTTCCCTCAATGTAACTTTGATACAGGTTCCAGGTGCTTGAATTGGGCTGACTAGGAGAATGGGATCTCTGGTGTTCCAATGAACATTGGCAATTAAGCTTCACTGAGCTCCAGTCCCATGGAGATTTGGATTCAGAGCTAGGCCAAGTCTCTGCTTCTGAGCAGAAGACAACTGACTCGACTCCCTCACTGTGTTAGACCACATAGCCAAATAAGCTCAAAAAGCCGGAAAGGGCGGAAAATGTTCATTTCTTTTCTGCTAGCAGCTCAACTGTGGAATATGCTTTTAATAATAAATATGTTCCTCAGGTACAACAGCAATGAAATTTCTGTTACCGAGTCCTCAGTAGCACCCTAATATGAGACTTAAAAGCTGAGGCAGATTGCTTAGTATTTTCTTCACTTTCTTGCCTGTCCAATGAGGCTACAACTGTTTCTTGCCTGAGGACTTTGCTAGGGTTATCCATGCGTTTTTGAAGCATCTGTCTGGCATAAAGGGCTGCTAAAGTGCAGTTTCTCCTGGTGAAAATGAAGTGAATGTGCTTTTAAAACTAGTTACTGTTGTAAGTGATTTTGTTATTAGTCAATGGGTTTTAATCTCTTCTGTTTGTGTTTTCCTTGGAAAGAGAGTGGTTTGGTGTTTCAGTGGGGAGCTGGCATGGCCTCTCGGGCAAGGCGTGCAAGCCAAGGAAAAACTCTGCCTCTCTTCTTGACAGCAAAGGAGCCCTGTGAAGTGACAGGTAATAGACTTGGGTGCTTCATTTGCGGCAACTCAGTATTTTATGTTTAGGCATAAAGTATCTGCTATGCAAATTTTATAAGGCTAACTTTTCTCTAGGGTTGGAAGATGTGAAAGTGAAGAGAGTTGCTGCAAGCTCCTACCATTCAGTGTCACTCACAGGTAGGCCTCAGGTACAGAAGTAAAAATTCTTATCTCTGCCTATAAAGACTTTTGTACTTTAGAAACTTCTGTGAATTTTGTAAAAGTGGTGAAGTTTTATGTATCTTAGTGCACTTATTTGTTGAGGTTTGAGAATTAATTCAAAAGAGAAACATATTTAAAAATATGAACTGTCCTGCATTCCTGTGTCTTGTAGACATTTTATGCTGGATTCTGAGATTCCTTTTTTAAGAGTTGAATTCATGTTTCAAGTTCTCTGAATTCTGCATGGTTATTCAGGGACCACGTGTCTATTAGGTGGCTTTAATACAGTGCCGCATTGATGGTGTAAAAGAGCGCAGATCATTTAAAACATTAAGGAATTGCTTAAATAGCTTCCTTCCATAGCTTCTACCATTTGTCCTTTGAACTCGAGGCATTGCTCCTGTGTTGCTTACTAAGTGTCCAGTAATTGCTAATGGAAGTCTGAAAAAGTATTCCTTTAGGCAAAACTGAGCGAGGGAAAAACAGAACTGCTGTCATCTTACATTTTTGAATTTGGAAGATGTATTGAACCTTATGTAGACAAGTCCTTACCTAACCATATAGAAACAGCATCTCAAGAAACATGTAGCCATCTGGCACCCCTGCCATGATTAGGTGGAGCGCTGGAGTGTGTGCTCACACAGCCCTTCAGAGAGGTTGAGCTGTGTGGCGAGATGCTACGAGATGTGAATTCCTGAATTCCAAGACGCAGAGCCTGTTTGCCACGAGTAAAGCAGAACTGTGAGGACAAACAGAATCTGCCGTAGCTAATTAACACGTTCTGTCTATTTGGCTAGTGAACAGATTACTCTTTAATGCTTTTACTTTTTATTTAAGAGAGCAGTCTATTTGGCAACAAGGAGAGCAAGCTTACCAAAGTGGGTGCCAAAGCTTTTGATATCGCAGTGCCAGTGCTGCCCTTGGGCCCCCATTAGCCTTTAGAGGGACCTGTTTGTTTGGATGCGCTGCCCTGTGCAGTGGGTAGGGAGCGACCTCTTTGAGGAGTCTTGCTCACTGTGCTGCAGTTTTCTCTGGCTCTGTCTCATGAGCCACCTGCTGGTAGAATATGAAAGACCTGCCACGAGGCAGGTTTTTGAAATGGTTGCAAAAGTGGGTTCTGGCAAATGTGAATAATGGCAGTTCATTTAAAAACAAAAGATGAAGCTGAGTTGCTGCTTTATTTGTATCCAAACTTGCCTGATGTTTGCATTTATGCCAATATACTTCTAAGCATTAGGGTTTAAGTTTTCACTAAAACCTTCTCAAGAGATGACATTAGGTTTAGGTCTGGGTGGCATTCTGGAGCATGTGCTTGTGCAAATTTCTATGGCAACAATGAGGAGGGTGAAGGCAAATATTTCTGTACAAAAGTCTCTTGCTAATGATCTAGTAGTGCTTTGAGGTATGAAAATACTATTTATTTTTTTGGTGACGGGTGATTCCTGCTTCAGTTGTGCATTTGTAGCCATGTGTCACAATCCTTTAGGAAGTAACCAAGCAGGTTGTGGCAGGGAGCATTAGAGACTGTCCCTGCTCATATGGAGTTACTGAATTTGCTGAAGCTGAAGGGGCTAGGAGAGAAATAGGCAAAGCTGGAAACCTGCAGCTTGTGTAGAGAGCCTGGGAGGTTGCATTGCAGCCAGACATGCTTCAAAGAGACAGAACATCCCAGGTACTGGAGGGAAGTTGCATTATTTGCAACTTTCAATGTGATTTGGAAAGTTGTTAAAAGGGGTGAATCTAAGCCCTCGGGCAGAGTTAAGAACTACCCTGCAGGGACAGAGTGGGTGGGGAGAGCCCAGTGTATGAACCCTTCTTATTTTTATTCTGGGTCATCCATATGCATTAAGCTTTTTTTTTTTTTCCTTCTTCCTCTGAGAATTTTATTTCTGTAGTTGATTTTTTTAATCAAATTTAGCTTTTGCTCTGAAAGTCTTTCAGTCATCTCACGGCCTAACTGAGGTCTAGGTAGTTCAACCTCAAAGGTCAGAGAACCAATGCAGCCCTCAAAAAACAGGCATGTAAGGCCCCAGCAGATGCTTCTTATGTTTCAGGTAAAATGTGTGTGCATATGGTAAAGAGATGGTAGAAAAACATACAAGGAAGTAAACAAGTTAAGTTAAACATTGCTCTTCAGCATATCATACTGTGTTGTTGAGACAGGGCATGCATCTCGTGATATTCTGTATGTGTCACTTTCCACTGATTTTATTCCTGTATCTGTTGTAGATGAGGGATGCCTGTACGTCTGGGGAAGCAACAAGCATGGGCAGCTAGTGAGCAAAGAGATCTTTCTTCTTGTGCCCAAGAAGATAGAGACTCTTTTTTTCTCACATGAAAAAGTTACAGCTGTTTGGAGTGGATGGACACACTTAGTGGCACAAACAGGTAGGTTACCTAAGAAGCAGCCATATTCAGCACCTGTGCAAAAATTATTATAGGCAAAATTACTTTTAAATTGTGTGGTTTTTTTTTCTCTCCCCCCCTTATTGCTGTTAGATACAGAGAGTTTGCAGTTCCACCTGAGCTGAGGTAGTTTTTTGAAAATGATGAGGGCAGATATCCCTCATTTTTTTGTTGCACCTTGTGAAGAAACGGACTCAGTCTGGGGTGCAGAGTGAGACAACTTTATTTCCAAACCAACTTCTTTTTATACTTTCTTAACACAAGTGTTGCAAAGCGCACAACCAATCAGCATCTGGCCACCTGCGCGGTTGTCTGGCTTTGTTTCTTTTCTTCTGGCAAGACACGTCACACACGGGGCAGGGGGAGGTGTTCCTCAGTCCTCGTCTTTCTCGGCTCTGTCCCCCATCTGCTGCAAAGACTGACACCCTTGTGGTTAACTATCTGCTAACAAGGTACTATTGTCTTTGAACAAGCCTCCACATTTTTTGTCCCTCAAGTATTGTGGTTAGATATGATGCATGTTCACAAATACAGTAGTACATGCAGTCACGTACCAGTCAGACGCATCCTCTGTGCACCATCAGCTTACCAGTTTTCCAGAATATGTGAGAACTTCTAAAGATTGTACAGTTTGAGTTATGAATGCCCCTATGGAGAGAAGAGCTTGGAAAACTTTCAGAGGATAGAGAGGTAGGAAGATGTGTCTGCAGGTTCCAAGATACATGGCTCTATTCCACAGGAAGATATGGGCAGAACCATGATCCAGGGCACAGGTGTTAGAGAGGGAGAGAGAATCCTGATGCAAATCTGCATACTAAAGGCTTGGAGGCACAGGTGTGAGACATTTCCAAATTACCTGAGTTGAGAACTTGAAAACAGGTATAGTTCATCTCCCTTTGCTGCTACCACCTACTCTGGGAAGACATGAGTTGGTTAAAACAAATTGTGGCTTTGCACAGATGCATTACCCTTGCTGAACTTCAAGCCTGAGCCTAGTTTTCACTGCTCTTGTTTTGCTATTTATTAAAATGTTTAAGGATAAATAAAATTATAGATTCATAAGTCACATTATCCTGTCTTGTCGTGTGTGTTTGTTTCACCATGGAATAAAATATTGAAGAAAGGCAGGCAAAAAGAGTCACTGTTAAACATGAAGTACATCTTTTGAAGGTGAACTGAAATCAAATGAGTATGGAAGCTGTGCATCCTTACCTTCCTGGGAACTGTTCTGCTGAGGATGGTGTGGGAGCTGGTTGTGTGTGCAGGATTGTAGGGTTACGTTCTTTTCTGGCAAGAGATAAAAGGAAGGTTGTCTGGTAGTGGTGTTCATGCCTAAAAGGGTGGTTGATCTAGCAAAAGTAATTTGAATGTATTTGTACTGTTGCTCTGTTAAGTTGTGCAAAGGCAGGAGGAAAAATAGATGGAGAAAAAGGTAAGGTATTAAAAACATTTTGTGTTCATGTGTTAACAGTCTGTGCAGTTTGCTGCTACTGTTGCACACTGTGTGGTGAGCTAGTTAAGACCAACAGGAGAATGAAATTCTTCCATAGAACAGCAAAAGAGCCTGAGTTATTAGCTGGATCGGTGGTACATGTGCTGTTGCTCTTCCCTTGCGCATAGGGCCAGGTGAGAGAAAGAAGAGCAGGTGGAAACATTTTTCCTAGAATGATGATGTGCTTGGAAGAGCCTATTGATCTGTTCTGATATATCCTGTTTGTAAAGATGAATCTACAAGAGGAGCCGCAGATTTGTCGCCGTTATTGGGATCTGTAATTATGGCACTGGTTTGAGTGCTTAGCCTTTAACATGCAGGTATTTGGATTTAAGTGGGAGCTCTTGCACGCTCATTCAGTATCTTATTAAACTGGTGCTATAAATCCTGCAACAGTTGCACAGTAATGACCTTACTCTGTGAGAAAAGTGTCTGTCTCAATTACAGTATATTTTGTACTCTTGGTGTTGGAATTCAGATGGATATGGTGCATGATTGGAAAAACAAATTAAGCATTCTGTTTCATAGCATTCATTGTTGGCATCAAAGTACATGAGCAGTGTCATGTTTTAAAAAAATAATTAAAAAAAATTTTTAAAAAAGGCATTGTTCTGGCTGTCCTCTAAGCTATTTGAAAGCTGTGTTTGAACTCTGATTTTTAGGGGGAATGCTCTCTTGAGAATTTGAGCAGGAATTAATGCTAGTGCTGCTTGGAAACTTTTCAGGTGAAATAAAAGAATTGGTCTCAGAATGTGTTTCTCAAGAAGTGCTTATGATGATCTTATTCAAACAAGAATGGTAGAGAGAAGTGTTAGGATACCCTCTCTTTAAAAACTAGGTTATTATCGACATGATTGGCCTTGCATCACTGTGTCTTAATAATGAATATTCTTTCATCCAAAATTCTATTTTTATGTGTAGTTGATACTTATCCATGGCTGTCACAGGAATAGAGTAGGCATTTAATATCTGATTTTAAGAGAAAAAAGTATGTTGAGTAACTAACAGGGAAGCTTTTTTTTTCATGAATATTTGAAATGAATTTAAATAGTGAAAACCGGCCAAGTGGAGTAAGTGCTGCAACCGAATTTTATGCATTTGGAATTTTAAATCTCTCTGAAAACCAGTGGGCCTGAACCTGAATCATTCAGAATAAGATTGTGAATGCCCTTTGGCAGCCTGCAGGTGCCAATCAGGATCTCATGGGATGTTCAAGGGTTGCTTAACTGCAAGACAGAGTGCGAGCTAAGCATTTAGCCCTTTCTGAGAGGGCACTCCATGCCTTTGCTTGAATTTGCAGTTGTCTAAGTAACTGTGAAAATGTGAAAGCCTTCAGATTTGATCCCTTGTTCTTCTTAAGGGTAGAGCTGTCTCTTTGGGACTATTCCTGTTTTGGAATTTTTAGGTTACCCACTGTACAAACAAAAACCTTAAAACCTCACAAAACCTTCAAGACAGGTACTTTTTTGTTTTCATTCCCCGTTCCTAAAGAAGCTGTACAATTACACTCGTAGGACTCCTTCAAAATAACTAGCATATTTCTGCTGCTAATGGCATTGCTACTCAATGAGAGTTGGCCAAAAAAGGCTAAGGTCAAGACCATTGTTGCTTTTTTTTTTTATTGGGTGTCTGATGATAAGATATGAATTTGTTACCGTCTTTGGCTTGTTTTTTGTTTTCTGTACTGGCATTTATGTTGAGTGACTCTCTAGGTGTGCGTTTCAGTTGGGACAGGGCAGTACTGCTATTGCTCACTGTGGGAAGGACAGATGATCTGTGTCCTTCCTGCCACAGGCTCCAAGCTCAAGAATTACTGTCTTCAGGCAACTGCTCTGTGAAGTGCTGTGCTGCCCTTCACTGCACTGTGCAATGGCGCCAGGAACACCACTGCAGTGTGATATTATTTTCAATAATAACGAGCATCTCTTTTGCACTGCTCTGCCTAACAGTGCCAATTTGAATCTGTGGGCCTCCTCCAATGATAAAACCACTTTGAGTGGAAGTGCCCAGAGGTGAATGTGAATGCAGGGGTTATTGCTTAGATCAGTTAAGTGAGCTGAGTTGTGGCCTATATCGCTAAAGATGTAAATCAGGCTTCTCTGGGAAAGAGCAGAACTGATATTGCTTGAAGGTGAACCTAATTATAGCAAGAGAAAAGTCGGAGGTGAATCATCAGCTTCAATTCAAAACAACTTATTTCCTTATTAACTAGGATGTCTAATAAATAAGCTTCCTAATCTGACCTTCTTTATTGTATAAGTATTCTTCTGACTATTTTTCACGTGAATTTTTTGGTGTGAATTTGGTTGCTGGGGTGATTGAGAGGCCTCTGCTGTGCCCCGAGCAGTGCAGTTTCAGCCCGCTAGATGTCCCTTCCAGGTCTGCTCTGACTGAAATCTGCAGCCTGGCCCGTGCTGGGAATGAGAGCTCCCTAGTCGTCAAATGCTCAGCAGTACCCCCAAATGCAAATAAATCCTGCTGCTGTTTTTTTGATGGCTTGTGCATGGTACCAACGAGGCACGTACTGGACAAGAACTGTCTTTGTATCTCTTCAACCATTATAGTATGGTCTAGCAAAAGGAACTGCATTTGGGAAATAGTGTTCTGAATAGCGAATAGCTTAAAGAGACCTTGTTGAAGGTAATCTGGGTTTACTTAATGCTGTTGCCTGTATTTAAAATGAAGGCCAAAAACCTAATTTTGATATTATTGCTATTAAAAAGTCCCTTTGAACTCACTTTTCACTCTACAATTTTATTATTATTATTTAAAAAAAGGAGTTTTAGGGAATAATCGTATCCAAAGGACAGAATGGATTCTATATTACTCTGGTTTCAGTAGCTAATGTTAATGAAGCAAAAGCTGCCATTAAGGAGCATCTTGTTCTTGAAGCAATTGCTTTTGCTTATACCTATTCTTGCTATGTGTATTGTTGAGCTGACTATTGGGCTTGAAGGAACTGAATGCCAAAATGTGCTACGTGTGCTGCATGTAAATGTGAATTTTGCATTGGTAATATGGGAGAACAGAGTATGTGGTTGTTTTCATGCTGTACAAATTTTGACAACTCTAGGATACCATAGGACACAATGTGGTAGGAGAAACTGCTATTTTTCTGAGCAAGGCTGGTATGTTTTGTGTAATTTTTTATGCATGTCTGTATGTACATATGTGTATAATGCATAGCTCAAACTAGTTAGGATGAGCGCTGGTCTGCCCAGTTGAGGGATGGTGTATTTCCGGTCCTGAGAAATGTGGGTGTCCATTTATGATTCCTCAGGCTCCCCTCAACTTTGTCCTGGGCTTCAGTAGAAAGATACTCTGTGATGGCACTGCAGTTTATTCAGTATCAGTATCATTTATTTGGTGTCCAAGAGATTAACCCATCTTTTTGTATAAATGTCACTTGCACAGAAAAATGTGGGAGGATGATCTGTCCTGGTTCCATGATCATCCTTCTCGCAGTCATTTTCCACTGCTGAATTAAAGG